TGAGAACTTGAATTCATGTAAAGGCAATAATTCTTATATTATTTTTGTATGTATTTAACCATGGACAGTGATATGACTGACCTAATCAAAATACGATGTTTGTTTCAGGATGTCCGAGTGGTCTAAGGCGCCAGACTCAAGGAATATCAACTTTCTCAGTTGTTGAGAATTCTGGTCTCCGAATGGAGGCGTGGGTTCAAATCCCACTTCTGACAAAGAGCTTTTGTAATGAGAACTTGACTTCATGTAAAGGAAATAAATCTTCTATTATTTTTTTATGTATTTAACCATATACAGTGATATGACTGACCTTAACAAAAGCAGATTTTTATGTCAGGATGGCCGAGTGGTCTAAGGCGCCAGACTCAAGGAATGTCAACCTTCTCAGTTGTTGAGAATTCTGGTCTCCGAATGGAGGCGTGGGTTCAAATCCCACTTCTGACAAAGAGCTTTTGTAGTGAGAACTTGAATTAATGTAAAGGAAATACAGTACATCTTATATTATTGTTGTATGTATTTAACCATTGCAGTGATATGACTGAACTTAACAAGAGCAGATTTTTATGTCAGGATGGCCGAGTGGTCTAAGGCGCCAGACTCAAGGAATGTCAACCTTCTCAGTTGTAGAGAATTCTGGTCTCCGAATGGAAGCGTTGGTTCAAATCTCACTTCTGACAAAGAGCTTTTGTAGTGAGAACTTGAATTAATGTAAAGGAAATACATCTTATATTATTTTTGTATGTATTTAACCATTGCAGTGATATGACTGAACTTAACAAAATAAGATGTTTGTGTCAGGATGGCCGAGTGGTCTAAGGCGCCAGACTCAAGGGATATCAACCTTCTCAGTTGTTGAGAATTCTGGTCTCCAAATGGAAGCGTTGGTTCAAATCCCACTTCTGACAAAGAGCTTTCTTATATTATGTTTGTATGTATTTAACCATGGACAGTGATATGACTGACCTTAACAAAGTTAGATGTATGTGTCAGGATGGCCGATTGGTGTAAGGCGCCAGACTCAAGATATATCAAACTTCTCAGTTGTGGAGAATTCTGGTCTCCAAATGGAGGCGTGGGTTCAAATCCCACTTCTGAGAAAGAGCTTTTGTAATGAGAACTTGAATTAATGTAAAGGCAATAAATTTTCTATTATTATTTTATGTATTTAACCATGGACAGTGATATGACTGACCTAATCAAAACAAGATGTTTGTGTCAGGATGGCCGAGTGGTCTAAGGCGTCAGACTCAAGGAATATCAACCTTCTCAGTTCTTTAGAATTCTGGTCTCCAAACGGAGGCGTGGGTTCAAATCCCACTTCTGACAAAGATCTTTTGTAATGAGAACTTGAATTAATGTAAAGGAAATACATCTTATATTATTTGTGTATGTATTTAACCATGGACAGTGATATGACTGACCTTAACAAAGTTAGATGTATGTGTCAGGATGGCCGAGCGGTCTAAGGCGCCAGACTCAAAGAATATCAAGCTTCTCAGTTGTTGAGAATTCTGGTTTCCAAATGGAGGCGTGTGTTCAAATCCCACTTCTGACAAAGAGCTTTTGTAATGAGAACTTGAATTAATGTAAAGGCAATAAATCTTCTATTATTTTTGTATGTGTTTAACCATGGACAGTGATATGACTGACCTTTACAAAGTAAGATTTTAGTGTCAGAATGGCCGAGTGGTCTAAGGCGCCAGACTCAAGGAATATCAACCTTCTCAGTTGTGGAGAATTCTGTTCTCCGAATGGAGGCGTGGGTTCAAATCCCACTTCTGACAAAGAGCTTTTGTAATGAGAACTTGAAATAATGCAAAGGCAATACTTCTTATATTATATTTGTATGTATTTAACCATGGACAGTGATATGACTGAGCTTAACAAAGACACTTAAGTGTCAGGATGGCCGAGTGGTCTAAGGTGCCAGACTAAAGGAGTATCAACCTTATCAGTTGTTGAGAATTCTGGTGTCCAAACAGAGGCGTCGGTTCAAATCTTAATCTCAAAAATAGCCTTTGTAATGAGATCTTGAAATTATGTAAACGTAATAAATCTATGGAGCTAAAAAAGTCCGGTGGGGGCGTGGCCTAAATACTCTCTGGGTGCTTCTCAATATCCCTCCTTGTCTCCTCGATCCTATGACCCGGAAACCGATCGAGCTCAGCCATCTTGAAGGACATCTCAATTCTCTAATTGCACCGCGAGGATCGAGGAGTGAGGAGGCTTCCAGAGGAGCTATGAGCGAGGATGCACAGTTGTATGCTTTGCGGAAGTGTTTTATCGACTAAACGTGACGCACGTATAAATTCTCCTCCCCCTTCACGTCGGTCACAATCATTTTAATTTATACTTTACCTTTGTTTGCAGTTTATATAAAAGACACATCTCACATATTTCAACAGGGTATCTTGCTTTATTATTATTTATTACTAATTTCTTAAATAACCAAACTTCAACAACATAAGGGCAGATCCTTTGAGCGCAGCTGATGACGCAGTGAAGTGACACTCGAGTGATCAAGCATTCCTCTGTCCTCATTTTCTTTCCTTACAGCCTTCCCTCGCATCCTGCGGGGGGTGGAGCTCAGACGCGAGGAAAGGAAGCGAGGATGCAGAAAATAAGAATTGAGAAGCAGCCTCTGTCTCTTTGCATATAGCGCTGTGTGAACGCATTCATGTGATTGGCTTATAAGGAAACAATCCCCCACGTGGGGTGCGTTCTTGTGATTGGATAAAACAAGGGAGAAATCTGATTGGTTGCAGATCATTACCTGTTTAAAAAAAGGCATTTGTGTGTCGAGCCAAGTCAGGGGAGTCTCAAAATTCACACACAAATGCCGTGAAGTTCACAGATCGCAAGCAGTTTGTAAATCAAGATATATTTGTGTGTGCATCAGAAATACATTTCTGAATCGTGTCCTGTGCATTTCTGAATCTTGTGTGCATTTGTAAATTTTGTTTGCATTTCTGAATTGTGTGTGCATTTATGAATTTTGTGTGCATTTATGAATTTTGTATGCATTTGTGAATATTCTGTGCTTTTTAAATTTTGGGTGTGCATTTGTGTATTCTGTGTGTGTATTTATGAATCATGTGTGTGCATGTATGAATCCTGTGTGTGTAGTGTGTGCATTTATATTTATTGAGACTTTTAGCTCCATATAAATCTTATATTATTTTTTCCACTATGGACAGTGAAATGACTGAGTTTCTCAAAGTTCTTTGTAAGTGTACAGTATGAATGGCCAAGTGGTCTAAGGCGCCAGACTCAAGGTGTATTAACCTTATCAGATGTTGAGGATTCTGGTCTCTGAATGGAGGCATGGGTTCATTTCCCTCTTCTGACACATATCTTCAAACAGCTAATAATGTGTTATTGTTACACAAACCATGTTCCAGTTCCATGTCTCAGAGTAAGACAGCGGCCTCCTAAAAATCCTAGAAACACTTTGAACAACTTAGAACGCCAGTGGAGAAAGGCATAGTTATATTACATCGTAACACTGTAATAATATACATCATATACATAATTCACACGCTATTTTGCTAAAATTACCCGATTTTTCATATCAACAGAAAAATATAACGCGATAACTAACAGGTACCTGTGGGCTGTCAGAAAACAATAAACAAGAAAACAATAATAAAAATATAAAACAATTCCTCCTTTTCCCATTTATTTTTTGAAAAAAATTGTATGGGGTCACTAATGACCTGTGGTGTGTGACAGTGTACGTATATTTTTTCTAAACAACAATAATTGAATCTTTGATGACCGAATAAGTGCAATTCACCTTTATTGTTCACGGTGGCAATGTCTGATACACAGTGATGAAGTGACGTTTCACTCATAGTTACTGCAGGCGGGAAAAAAAAAGAATAGGAAGTATCATCAGCAAAACTTGAAATGGATTATGGTTGAGAGGGAGAATATGAGCAATATACTGAATGTAATGAGCTCAGTAATGAGCTCACGAGGACAGTGATGATGGTATAAAACCTCTGCTTAAAGAGATCCATCCGTGTTAGATATAGATCTGGGTCTCTAACGACCCTAATATTTAATAATGATTGGCGAAACGTTCATGCATTTAAAGGTTTATGGTGTTCCCAGACCAAACCTATGGGAATTATTTTTGAGATGGATGGATGAATGACAGAAACCACGATTTGCCAAGTGCAACATGTTCCTGGGTCAACATATTTTATTGATCCTGGAACAACATTCCTGTCCGAAATTTAATCCTAACCCCATCCCTAACCCATAAGTTTTCCCTAAGATCAGAGGGAAATGATAGGTGAATAACACTAATGTAGAAGCACCTAACCCTGGTTATAAGCCTAAACTTGACATAAACTGTAAACTTGTCCCTCAAATCTGATTGGTGGATTGGAATATTGATTCAGTAACATATGGTGAAACCATGATCACCCAGAAGGGCGACTATTGGGAAGTCCTTTGCGGGCTTGGAACTAGAAGTCTTCTTGTTTTCAATGAGGTGTCTGGCAGTTGTCTAAGCTGTCGCAAAGTATTTTTGTAATCCAAATGCAAATTACTCAGAAAATAAATAAACAGTTTTAATGACAAAAGGTATCCACTTGGAGTATCTCAGGAGAAAAGAGCACACACTAAATAATGATGATAACCAACAGCAAACAGAACCAAACTGGGAGTATATATCAGAAGTGGTACTGGGACTAATCAGGAGGAATCAGTAACTAAGGGGACAGGAACTAAACTGACAGGAAACACAGGCATTAATGAAAACACAATAAAGCCAAACATGACCCTGACACTAGCATTCTTATCTAATGCCACTGGACGTTTGTTTGTGTTAGTCCACTGAGATCCAATCAAGATGTAGCAAACCTTTCTCCACTATTGCAGTCAGAAAGAGGTCTGCCATAATACTGGGCCTTGAAATGCCCTAATAAATACTTTTCACAGCACATCAATTTTGTTGTTGTTGTTAAACTTTTTTTCTTTGTATTCAACAGATGTTTTTCTGCATAAGCTTGGGCTTTGTCCTTGCCTGGGCTCCCTACACCATTGTTTCCTTCCTGTTTATCTTCCACAAAGACGCTTGGTATATGGCACCAGAAGCATTCGTCTTTCCTGCGCTTTTTGCTAAAAGCTCCCATATCTACAACCCCTTTATTTACTTTTACTTCAACAAAGCTTTTCGACAGGAGCTGCGAAGCCTTCTATTCTCTATGTTTCCTGGACTTGCCCACAACCGTGTTGGAGTGTACACAGGCAATGGTGTTCATCCCATGCAGATCCAACTACAGGAGCAGGTTGTGGCAAATGTTGGAAGAGGTCCTATCCTACATGAAGGCAAGAGTGAAAAAAACACAGGTCTATATAGTCACATGGTCTGCTGGGTCTCCAACATACAGCTGACACAAACCAATGGTGAGCAGAGGGTTGATTGTCAGTTCTTACCAACCTCAACCTAAGATTTAAAGTGTTTAATTTCTCTGAACCTTTATATTTTGCAATACACAGCTTATTGTGCATTGAGTGTCTGAGTTATCTTAAAAACGGTAATTTTAAGACCACAAAAGACCTTTAAATTCTAATGAATGTGATTGCCAAAGTATGATCCTGCCACATGTATACATTACATACTGTATTTTATTGCTGTTTATGTATTGTTTGAACAAAGTGTAATGTCGTACTGGTATAAATGTTAATGTTGCAAAATCTGTTTTACGCATGGCATATGTAAGTAATATTGATATTTGTTGTCCTACAATAATTGTTTAATTTTACTCATTTTCTTCTTTTTTTTTACATTTATTGTATTGTTTACTGCATCAATCAAGCTAAACCATTTAACCCTTTTACCAAAGTTTTTGTAAGGAGAAAATATTTGATGACTATGTAGGTAGCATTGTCGAATCACAGCAATAAGGCCCCCAGTTTGAGTCCTGGCTGAGCCAGTTGGCCTTTCTGTATGTAGTTTGTGTGTTTTCCCTTTGTTGCATCCATTCAGGGTATTTCTCTGCATATGACCTGAGATGCTGGAATAGGCTCCAGTGGCCCTACAGAGGACAAGCAGTTTGGACAAATAGATGAATATTTGCAACTTTAAGGGGCTACAAGCATAAATGCATCATATTTATGTAGTCATTATTATTTTTTAAGGATTTGCCGTTCCAATAACTGTTTCAATTGCTTTCTGGAAAAGGTGTTGTATCTTCTGATGGTGTATTAAAGTGTATACTTTTTTCATTATAGTGCTACCTATCGTTAGACAAGTAGGCAATCTCTACGTTAAAATCTAATTAAAAAAAAAGCCTGTGCAAACACACATAGGTGTAAAGAGTATCTGAAACCCATACTTGAGTAAAAGTACAGATACCTAGTGAAAATGACTCCATTACAAGTTACAAGGCCTTAGTTCAATTAGGGCATTTAAAGGGATTTACCAAAAAATTAAAATTAGCCCATGATTTACTCACCCTGAAGCCATCCTAGGTGTATATGACATTCTTCTTTCATACGAATACAATCGGAGTTGTATTAAAAAAATACCCTCCTTCTTTCAAGCTTCATAATGGGAGTGAATGGGTTTTTGCTTTTGGAAGTCCATCAAAGCACATCAATCCCTGATAAAAGTAATCCACGCGGCTCTGGGGGGATTAATAAAGGTCTTCTGAAGTGAAGCGATGCGTTCGTATAAGAAAAATATTCATTTTTAAAACTTTGTCAACTAAAATAACTAGCTTCCGACAGACGTACGCCATACACAAGTCGACTTACGCCAAAAGAGTAACAATTGACGATGTATGACGTAGTATGTAGGAATAGCGTAAGCTTTGACGCCTCTCGCGGTTGAAACAAACAGGGCTGGGCAACCGCGTTCGTCATTGCGCTGTGCGTAAGTTCAAGGGTTAGTCTTTCGCCTTAAATCGATGCGTACAGCCGTTTGCCTGAAGCTAGTTATTTTAGTCGATAAAGTTTTCATACACTAATGCATCACTTCACTTCAGAAGGCCTTTATTAACCCCCCAGAGCCGTGTGGAGCACTTTAAACAGGGATGGATGCGCTTTGAAGCAGTTTGCTCATATCTTTGATACACAGTAAAATTACAAAGTAGCCAAAAAGTTACTTAAGTATATAGTAACTAATTACATTTACTCAAACACTGTACACCACTGCATGCACATGTGCGTACATACTCATGGGCAGGGTTTAAATTGGGATTTATTATGTGGGGCTCTCCCTAGCGGGGTCTGGGGGTATTTATTTTGAGTGGCCAGCTAGCAGTTCTCTTGGAGGTTTGTTGATAATCCGGTGTCTGAAGTAAAATGCTCAAAACATCTCCTGAGAAAAATCACATGGTCAACCTAGTCTTGGTTATTTAATTTTGATTTAGTCTTATTTTCCTTACCTTGTCATTCAAGGCCAGGGCACTTTTTGTACATTTCTGGAACTTTTGCGCGCTTCCACATCCCGCGCAACTACGGACCTCCCAGGAACATTCATTATATATTGCTGCATATATTTATCCGTGTCACCTAGATGCGCATGCGCGAGCGGTGCGCGATCATGGTCGACTGACAACGAGATTAAGCAGCTGAGAATACGGCCGTGTTCCGATTGTTCTCATCTCAGCTCCGCCGAGACAAAATAGACATGCCATTTCAAAAATTCTTCATAGAGGAAGCTCAACCTTCATTTCTCTTAACATTCTATAATTTAGGTGCATTTTCATGCAAACTGTACATACAGTCATTGATAATGCATTTTTGACTGGAGAAGCTTATGTAATAGTTGTTAGGGGTAAACAGTTAAAGACCCAGAACCAGATATGATGAATGAAGACCCGGAGTCAGAATTATAATAAATTAAAGAAAAGTTTTACTGAAGATAGTTTGCCGTTTCATCAGAAGAAGTCAGCTTCAAGACTCACACAGGAGTTCGTAGGCCGCCCCTTTACAGTTACAAAGATCACAGCAATTATACCATTTGCAAGGTCTAAGCTACGTCATTGCTTACAGGTTGAATGATTCTCATTGGCTAAGAAATAGATAAACATAGTAATTTTCCACACACATACAGATAGACGGAAGCATATCTCCATGGATTATGCAGCTGACACTCGGACCCTGACGTTAGGCACGTCGTGACCGTCCAGGTCGCAGATTTGGGTTGCTGGGCGTCAGCCTGTCCCAAACAACAACTCAGTCAATCTCCAATAATGCCAGTGGTTCCTTAACCTGTAACCAAAAAGACTAACACATACACCAACACACAGCTTTTCCAAGGTTGGATTTGACCAGGCTCTTACTATAAACAGGAGAGTCCTCTCAAAACATCAAGATAATGCGTTCTTTCTCTCAAGGAGAGCTAGATTTCCATTACACGAGAGTAGATGTTAAAACTTCATGCTGATTTGTACTCGGCTTTCGCCAAGATAAGCACAAACTAAGACATAGCTTTACAGTAACCTATGCTCCTCCATCCATTTACGCTTCCTTCCATATGGTGACGTGAATCTCCTTCTGTCCGGCGTTAACGGCTGCAGTGTACTTGGCGCGTCAGCACACACAACGGCTGCAACTACAGTGTGGTCTCTCCAGTGGACCAGCACGACAACCGTCTGGATTGAGCCGAGTAGGGGACATCTCTAGGGTCTTCAAGTGGGCACCTTCCGTCCTCAGTGTTTCGTCAACTAGCCCACGACATCACAAGAGGGCTCGACAGTGACTCTGGCGTCCCAGAGTCACCCCCCTCCGTCCCCCTCTCAACTCAGCCCAGCTTACTGACCTCTACATCCCTCACAATCTCACAATCTCTCCGCAACCCAACCATACGCGCCAACCCGTTTGACTAAGGCAGTCGAGCCCCACTGTCTTCGTTAAACTAGGTTCAGTGGCAACGGTTCTGTAGTGTATGGCATACTACCTACCACAAAACACAATATCTGCCCAAACACCACCCCTCATTCACGCAATATACACAGGAACGTAATAACTGTAATTACTATGCAAACTATACAAATAAACCAACAGACTCTTCGAGTTTTTCAAGAATTCTACGAAACCGTAGCGTGGCGGCCTGTACACAGCCAGCCAGAATCTTTCCGTCTCAACCACAGCCAGTTGCTGCTCCTCTCTGCTGCTTCAGATAAGTTCTTTACTGTGCGACGCAACTCTTGGCCACTGAATCCGACGTCTCTGAGGAACCGGGTTGTAGAGTGTGCCACAAATCCTCGACAACCCACTTCCACTGGATAAACCTGGACTCTCCATCCTCGCTGTTCTGCTTCAGTGGCCAGATGAGCATACCGCAGTTTCTTCCTCTCATTTGCCTCATCTACCGCATCCTCCCATGGCACTGTTAACTCTATCAGTTGAACAATGCGTGCTGATCGAGACCACAAAACGATATCTAGTCGGAGGTTAGTGGTGGCAATCTCAGGTGGAAAAATAAGCCGTTGATCAATATCAGCCAGCATTTTCCAGTCCCTAGCAGCTTCCAGTTGTCCTGGGCGAGAATTGGTATTAACAGCTTTTCTTGGTGGTTGCTCGCCTGGGCGGAGAAATATTGTCTTCTGCGTGTAATGTTTTGCTAGAACAGGCGGCAACTTATTGGTCATGTTACGCTTGCCTTCCAATTCTAAAGCCAAACATCGCAGTACTTGGTCATGGCGCCAAGTAAACTGACCTTGGCTAAGAGCCACCTTACATCCTGTCAAAATGTGCCTTAATGTGGCAGGTGATGAACACAAAGGACAAGAGGGATCCTCTCCTACCCAGAGGTTTAGGTTCTGTGGTGATGGGAGAACATCAAATGTTGACCTGATAAGGAAACTGATCCTACTCTCTTCCATTGACCAAAGGTCTTGCCAGCCCATCTTGCGTTGTTCCACACTCTCCCACCTCATCCACTCTCCCTGCTTGGCCTGGGAAATGGCCTTTATACACCTCATCCTCTCCTCCTGCTTTCGCACCTCGTTGACTACCAGCTTCCTCCTTTGAGCTGGGCCTGCCTTGTAGCTAAACTGAGCCCAAAACCTCCTCTTCCATGCTGTACCTGTCCCACGATATCGCCAATTTGAAGGGCAGCCTTTGCCTCTACCACAAATTTCTTTGCTGACCACTTTCTACCAGTTTTTAACACAGGTGCCGCCTCCCTTACACATTTGTCACGTGACTCTACTAAGGTCATTTCCAGTCTGACCTTGGCGCACTTAAACTCCTCGGTTAAAGCAGAGACTGGCAGCTGCAATATTCCTTTACTATAAAGTCCCACTGGAACTCCCAACCATTTCCTAATGTATGAACTTATTAACGCTTCCAGCTTATCCACTGTTGTCAAAGAAACCTCGTACACAGTCAGTGGCCACAGCAACCTCGGCAGTAGACAGAACTGAAAGCACCAGAGTTTTAGTTTTCCTGGTAGAGCACAGCTGTTTATGCTCTTCAACCCTTCCGCTGCTTGTCGTCTAACTTCTCCCACTCGAACTGTGTCCTTTAGATCCCCATCGTACCATATCCCAAGACTCTTCACTGGCTTCTCAGAAACTGTTGGTATTGCCTCACCATTAATGAAGAATGTTTAGACTAAACATTTAGTCTAGACTTTAGTCTAACTGGAAAGTAAAGCTTTAACAAAGAAATTGTCCCTTAAACTATTGGCTTTAATGA